ATCCAGCCTAATGAACAATAATATAACAAATAATAAAATAATATAACAAATAATATAAAATAATATAACAAATAGTAAAATGTAACTAGGCTTCATTAATAACACAGACTTTTGACAGTCTGTGTATGGCTACATGCCTACCAGTCTGAGCTTGCAAAATTTTGATTCGAAACTTCTGGATCTCTCCTGCTCCCAGTGTGCTGTTGTTTTGGTCTCCATAGATGTGTATCAGACCTTTGTATAGTCATACTTCATACTGCAGTGCTTAACATGTCAACAGCCACAGTGTAAGATACTGGATATATGCCCTGTCGTTGCTGTGCACTGAGGGAAATATGAAGAAGGTTCCTCCACTTGCTGTCTATTCACTGTGAATTTAAGATGTTGCTTACAATATCCTGTCTTTGTTTATCTTATGCCTGTTTCCACTGATTGTCCGCCTCCTTCCCCTTCCAAGGTTTGAGACTTCTTTTTCAGCAGGGATAACAGCAGAATCTTCTAGAGTGGGGGCGGGGGGGGGGGGGGAGAGAACAACACTCTTTATGAATTCGTGATGGAGTGTTTAACAAAATTTAAAGAAAATCTATTGGATGTTAATAGGCTATGCAAATGACTTCTAGATTTCTCTTATGTCTGGCTCGTGATGTTGGTTTTGCTTAGTTTGGGTTGGAAGTAATGAAAGATCGTGGTGATGAGTTAGTTCCAGGCTTGTCACATAGATATTGTTATATATTTATGGTTAAAAACAAGTTGAGACACTTACTATGTGTTTTAGAAGCTAAATACTGATTTACTATGGGCAGAAGGCATTTCCATCGATGTCTTCTGGTTTAATAGCAGTTATTTGGGGAGTGGTTTTTCTGATTGACAGCCAGTCTTCAAACTTAACAGATTCGGAACCTCCAGCAGCATATGGAGAGCTTATTTTCTCTGATACTATTAAAAACAGTATTATTATTGAAACTGGTGCATGGGCTAGATAGTATGAAGTAAATTATTGATTACAAATACAATAAAACAGAAGCCATATTTCTGAGTAATGGAAACTGCTGTGTGGTATCGCTAACTACACAGCCTGCCAAACAGCTTTCGTAGGGGTTCCTGCGGTGTCTAGTGCGGTGTTGTTCAGGGCTTCTGGTGCTCAGGATCACAAATGTGACACCCTGAGGCTGTATCTCCTATGAAGGGCCAAATGAAATCAGAGCAGGACGAGAGTCCACTGTAATGTGTCCAGTCAGAGTGTGTTCCCCAACAGGGAGTAACCTTCTGCACCAAAATCACTGCATTGCAGCACGACTGCCTGCATCCCCAGCAATTACATCATCTGTGATACATTGGCTGTGGTAATGCCCGAGTACTTCTATGGCTTGGGTTTTTGTTTTGTTGGGAGGTTTTTTTTGTTCAGAGGCTTAATTTCCAAATTGCTTTTAAAGAAAAAGTCTGAATATACAAAGCGACCGATAAAAGAAAAAAGCAGCTGTTTAATGTTCTCATTTAAACGTAGTTATTCTGGTAGCATATCTCTACAAATAAATGCGCATTCCGTATTGCAGAAGATTTCTCTCTGCTTCACAAGCAGAATGTGGGTTATAATTTGCTTGTTGTAATGTTTTACCATTTTTTTTTTTATAGCAACATGAAAAGTTACTAGAGTTGTGTTAAAAAATCATGAACCTGCTCTGAATTTGAGGGATATTGCAAAGCTAAATTTAATTTAAGCTATTTTGCATAATAATTTGGTGTAGAAATGAAAGGTTAGAAAATAGGCTGGTAATAGCAGAAGATGGTTGAGAGAGAGAGGGGCAGATGCCTTAGAAATAAAATATTCCTTACGTGGCATATATTTTGCAGAGGATGTGGGAGATGAAGGAGAAGAGGAAAAAGAGTTCATTTCCTACAGTATCAGCACTGACATTCATTATGGAATAAAATCAAACAGGTGAGTTAGTAAAATAGATCTTGACATTTCTACCCTATGAATGCAAAACCTACACAAGCAGATTTACCTAGTTTACCTCCAAATTTACCTCCAATTTACCTAGTGCTTCATGTGATGTTTTTATTCAAGTGGGGCAATAGCTTTGCAAGGTGGAGACTCTGATAAAACATGGGTGTGTCATGAGGCTGAAATGAATGGACTTAGGACTTCTAGCTCTGAGGTTAAAGAAACAAAGTCTTGTTAATTTGGCATACATGCAAATGTAACATACGCACACAACTTGGGTTCAGTAATCTTCAGTTATGTTTGACTCTTACATATTTGTCACTTACCTTAATGCCTATTTGAACATGAAGCTTCTTAAGATGTGTACCTCTTTAGCGTGCCCACACTGCAAAGTTCTTATTGATAAATAAGTTTGGCTGATTCTGAAGTATAAAGATGTATTTATTGGAAGACTTGTGTTCAAGTCTCTTAGAAGAAAGATTATAAAGTATGATGATGCAGGTTAGCATTTGACTCCTGTGACCTGAACTTGCAGTCAGATTAAAGCTATTCTAACTGTTACTTAACTTTCAGATGTTTAGTTGGTAACTCTCTGCTCTGTTCTGCAGCCTGGCGTTCATTAAGCGTACACCAGTGATTGATGCTGACAAACCAGTGTCTTCCCAACTGAGAGTGCTCACTCTCAGTGAAGATTCTCCATATGAAACTTTACTCTCTTTCATTAGCAATGCTGTTGCTCCCTTTTTCAAGTCCTACATCAGAGAATCTGGCAAAGCAGACAGGTAATTCAGTCTGAATACTGCACTTCTCTGCTAATGAATTAAAGTAGGTGTTTAATGAAAAAAATAACAGTGACTGTTCAAGGCAAGTAATGTGAAATTGTTTAAGCACACAGTTGCTTATGATGCTGTTGCTGGCTCTGGGGAAGTAGTTCAGATGGCTTAAACATGTTGTGTATGGGTTTTGGTTTGGCTTCTTACATGGAGACATCTGTGCTTTTTCAGGGATGGAGATAAGATGGCTCCTTCAGTTGAGAAAAAGATTGCAGAACTTGAAATGGGCCTCTTGCATCTGCAGCAGAATATTGAAATTCCAGAGATTAGTCTGCCAATTCATGCAACCATTACTAATGTTGCCAAGCAGTGTTATGAACGTGGAGAAAAACCAAAGGTTACAGATTTTGGTGAGAAGGCTGAGGATCCGTTATTCCTCAATCAGCTACAGTCTGGAGTCAACCGCTGGATTAGAGAGATACAAAAGGTAAAAAAAGGCCAAACAAATACCAGACTACGTGATAAGAACTTATATGTAGTACTGTGTATCTTCTTCACATTTTAACTGGTAAATACTGCTCCATGCAGGAATACTCTGAAGATCTGAGACCAGTTTTCTGAGTCACCAGAGATGCTAGTCTAAATTGGACTAACTCTAATTCTAGACTAGACTAAGTCTAGTCTAAATTGTTCTGCAGGTAGCTGAGAGCATGACTATTTTATCTTATGTAACAGACTCAAGTAACTGACAGTAACCTTGTGAATTTTGTGACTGTTCTTCAAATCTTTACAGCAGATTGAGAGAAACAGGTCTCATTGGCTTGTTTTGTTATTTCCCCAGGTGCATCCACAACAGAACAGTTGCTCCAGTCCTACCTTGTAATGTTTTGTACTCCTGCCTGTTACTTTTCAAAAGACCTCTGCTGTTCTGCTGCTATCACTCAGAAATGGCATCTCATCTCTACTCTGGCTTTTTTTTTTTCCCCTCCATGGGCACAGTAAACACCTATTGCTCATGGAACAGTGGTGCCTTTTCTTACTCTAGAGGATAAAATGTTTGTTTTCTTGCCTGGCTCATCTGTCATTAACCAGAATACAGACACTGATCAGGAAAGTGGACAGGTGGCCTTTTTAGGCTATGCTGAAGATATTACATGAAGGTCTTAAAACCGACCTTTAGGACCACTGGAGTTAAACTTTGACTCTTGTTGAGCTGCAGTTCCTACACTTCCCACAGAATGAGTGCCAAAACTGTCTTGAGGTTGGATTATTAAAACCTAGATGATGTTACGTGTTTCAATTATGCTTAGTAACAGAGCAAGTTTTTACAGTTGAAGTATATAAATTAAATGCTTTTCTCCCTCCTGTCTTTTTCTATTACTTTGAAGGTGACTAAATTAGATCGAGATCCTGCATCAGGCACTGCATTACAGGAGATAAGCTTCTGGTTAAATTTGGAACGGGCCCTGTATCGCATCCAGGAAAAACGTGAAAGTCCAGAAGTTCTTCTGACTCTGGATATTCTAAAACATGGCAAACGTTTTCATGCAACTGTCAGCTTCGATACAGACACAGGTGAAAATTTTTCACAAAAGTCCTATGGAACTTAAACTGTTTATGAAACTTGAACCTTGTGGTACAAAGAACAATGCTGTTTAGAGTAACCTTGGTCTAGTTAAAGCTACAGATTTGATTAGTGACATGAAAAGTGATATTCAAAATCTTTTTTGTTACATTTAGGTCTAAAACAGGCTCTGGAAACTGTGAATGACTATAATCCACTGATGAAAGACTTCCCACTCAATGACTTGCTGTCTGCTACTGAGCTGGACAAGATAAGGCAGGCCCTTGTTGCAATATTTACCCATTTGAGAAAAATCAGAAACACAAAATACCCAATCCAAAGGGCATTGCGTTTAGTGGAGGCTATTTCAAGAGATCTGAGCTCTCAGCTACTTAAAGTGTTAGGAACCAGAAAACTGATGCATGTTGCCTATGAAGAATTTGAAAAGGTATGTTCATGGTTTTGTGATACTGGTGGCTTATTTTTGCATTGTGGCACTGGCAGCTGTATTTTTGCATTGAATAGTGACTTTCAGGAAGCATTTCATTTGGGAGCTAAAGTTCTTATTTTAAAACTCTTCAGGTAATGGTTGCATGCTTTGAAGTATTCCAAACCTGGGATGATGAATATGAGAAGCTACAAGTTCTGCTGAGAGATATTGTGAAAAGAAAAAGGGAAGAGAACCTGAAGATGGTGTGGCGTATCAATCCTGCTCATAGGAAACTCCAAAGTCGTCTTGATCAAATGAGGAAATTCAGGCGTCAGCATGAGCAGCTGAGGGCAGTTATTGTGAGAGTCTTGCGACCTCAGGTAATACTCTTGGTCAAAAATCTGTGCAGCTTCTTCAAGAGTGTTCACTGTTGCTTTAAAAAGTTACCCATGTAAAACTAATGTAACATTCAGTTTTGCTGTCTGCTTCCAAAAACAATCTAGTTTTGAACCTTGCTAATAGGCTTAGCTTGAATTCTGACTTATGTCTGGACTTGCTGTGTCTGTGATGTAACATAGAGGAGATTAATAAGTGTGTAAATACTTGAGCTTGGCTAAACCACAGTGGAAAATGAGATTATGCTGCACAGTAGTGGAAGTTTGTAAAGTAACTGTGTTGCCCCTTTCCTAGTGGAACTTAAATCTGAAACATGACTGAAAGTTTGTTAAGGATTTGGTACTAATTTGTAGGTTTTTTGCAATGCTTGTTAGAAGACTGTGTTTAGCTATTTGTAGGGAAATTCTGAAGCATCCAACTCACTAAGCTGTGATTTTAATGCAGGTAACTGCTGTTGCCCAGCAAAATCAAGGAGAGGTACCTGAACCACAGGATATGAAAGTAGCAGAAGTCCTTTTTGATGCTGCAGATGCTAATGCAATTGAAGAAGTCAATCTTGCTTATGAGAATGTTAAGGAAGTAGATGGGTTAGATGTTTCCAAAGAAGGTACAGAAGCCTGGGAGGCAGCTATGAAACGATATGATGAAAGAATTGATAGAGTTGAAACAAGAATAACTGCCCGTTTGAGAGACCAGCTTGGTACAGCAAAGAATGCCAATGAAATGTTCAGAATCTTCTCTCGATTTAATGCCTTGTTTGTCAGACCTCACATTCGCGGTGCCATTCGTGAATATCAAACACAATTGATCCAACGCGTAAAGGATGATATTGAGTCTCTTCATGACAAATTTAAAGTACAATACCCGCAGAGTCAAGCTTGTAAAATGAGTCACGTTCGTGACTTACCTCCTGTGTCTGGGTCTATAATTTGGGCAAAACAGATTGACAGACAGCTGACGGCTTACATGAAGCGTGTTGAGGATGTCCTTGGCAAAGGTTGGGAGAACCACGTAGAAGGTCAGAAGCTAAAGCAGGATGGAGATAGCTTTCGCATGAAGCTCAACACTCAGGAGATCTTTGATGACTGGGCAAGAAAAGTTCAGCAACGCAATCTTGGTGTGTCTGGTCGTATTTTCACCATTGAAAGCACTCGTGTTAGAGGTCGGACTGGAAATGTCCTGAAACTGAAAGTCAACTTCCTCCCAGAAATAATTACGCTTTCAAAAGAAGTTCGAAACCTGAAGTGGCTTGGTTTCCGTGTTCCATTAGCAATTGTCAACAAAGCTCACCAAGCAAACCAGCTGTATCCATTTGCTATTTCTCTCATTGAAAGTGTCCGTACGTATGAACGAACATGTGAGAAAGTAGAAGAGCGTAATACTATCTCACTTCTGGTTGCTGGCTTGAAGAAAGAGGTGCAGGCTTTGATTGCAGAAGGAATTGCACTTGTGTGGGAATCATACAAACTTGATCCATATGTACAGCGCTTAGCCGAGACAGTCTTCAGTTTCCAGGAAAAGGTTTGTTTTATCTTTCAAATTCTGCAAAATTTTTACATTTATACTTCAGTAATGTGTCGTTAACTAAAAGTGGAATTGGATAGCTGATGACTTGTTCTGTAGCTCTTTGGTTAAATAGCTGATTGAGTTGGCACAAATTGGCCAGCTGAATGGGTCTTTTAGTACTACTAAAATTGATAGACTTGCTGTATCTAAATAAAGTGGTTAACCATTACTGCATAATTATTGTTGCATCTATCTAACCTGTCAAACTGAACATCTGGTTTTTCCTAAACCGTTTTAGGTGGATGATCTGCTCATTATTGAAGAGAAAATAGACCTGGAAGTGAGATCATTGGAAACATGCATGTATGACCACAAGACTTTCTCAGAAATCTTGAACAGGGTTCAGAAAGCTGTGGATGACTTAAATCTTCATTCATATTCAAATTTGCCAATCTGGGTCAATAAGTTGGATATGGAGGTAGGTTTGAGATCATGGGGTGGTATATATTTAGAGGAAACATTTTAATCAGCTGCAAAATGTTTTTTGAATATACTCTTCATAGTCACCCAGGGAAAATTCTGTCTCCCTATTCTCTGAAAATTTCAGTGCATTTTCAATATGCAGAATATGCAAGGCCTGTTTGTTTTTAGCTGTTGAGTTTTGGGATCAATTAATTCCACAGGAGTTTTGTCCTTTGAAGAAAAAAGTTTTGATACAGCTTGACTGCCTAGAAGGCGCTGAGGAGCGAGGTAGATAAAGGGTGGTGCAAATTTGCTATGCCGGTAGCAAGAGACTCATTGCCTTCATGTTGTTTGGTTCTGCCTATTGAGTTAAGTTTCAGGTTATTGGACACTAGGCCAGCTTCAAAGCAGTTAAAATTGTTTAATTCCATTAAGTCCATGAGGACAGGAGAAGCTTTGAATTAATACTCAGTGAAAATTTACCAAAACTCTTAAACCTCTTTAATGACTTAGTAAAGGAGCACTTGGTTCTTTGAGGCACCATAGTGTGCCTGGTGTCAGAACATATCAATAGTGGGGATCTTTATGTGGTGAAGATGCAGCTTTTTCCTCCAGTGTGGCTTATTTTCTTTAGATTGAAAGAATCCTGGGTGTTCGTTTGCAAGCTGGACTGAGGGCCTGGACCCAAGTTCTTCTTGGACAAGCAGATGACAAAGCAGAAGTTGATATGGATACAGATGCTCCTCAAGTGAGCCATAAGCCTGGTGGTGAACCCAAGATCAAAGTAAGTTTTGGGGGGAGGCGGGGGGTTTGGTGTTTTTTTTCTTTATTGTTAATTACTTAATACAAGAATTATATCTGAGGTTTACATGGGAGATAAATATTTCTTCTGCATCTGGTTTTGGAGGAATACTTGCCTCCTCCCATTTAAAGTGCAAGCTGATTTTTCAAAAGTGTGTGCTACTTCTTGAAACTCAGAATTCTTGTCTACATGTAGTAGTATCTGCCAGTAAAACTGAGTGTGTTTACTGTTTTTGCAGAACATTGTACATGAACTAAGAATAACCAACCAGGTGATATACTTGAATCCACCAATTGAAGAGTGTAGGTACAAACTTTATCAAGAAATGTTTTCTTGGAAGATGGTAATCCTGTCACTACCAAGAATTCAAAGTCAGAGATACCAGGTAAGTGTAATGAAGCTGTATCTAAGTCTGAGCAATTATTTTCACTTTCCAATTAATTGTGCTCAATATCTTAGTGTGTTGTTCTAGGACTGAATCCGAGTGCCCTAGAAATTCATGTATATCACATCTGTAATTGTGGTTCTTAGGTCGGAGTGCATTATGAGCTGTCTGAGGAAGAGAAATTCTATCGTAATGCATTGACAAGGATGCCTGATGGTCCTGCAGCTCTGGAGGACTCATATTCTGCTGTCATGGGAATTGTGACTGAAGTGGAGCAGTATGTCAAGGTAGGAATGGACTTTTCTCTCAGTTTTCCTGAGGGCTGGGGGGACACACGTCTTTTGGAATATACTGGAGAAGTTCTGAACGTTGTGAAATACCTCAATTAGGTTTGGCTGCAGTACCAGTGTCTGTGGGATATGCAGGCTGAAAACATCTACAACCGTCTTGGAGAAGACCTGAATAAGTGGCAAGCCCTTCTAGTTCAGATAAGAAAGGCAAGAGGAACATTTGATAATGCAGAAACCAGAAAGGAATTTGGACCTGTTGTCATAGACTATGGCAAGGTAAGAAATTGTAATTATTGTTTGTGATAAATGCACAAAATTTCAGAATGGGTGTATAACAGAAAATAGCAAGGCTGACAAATTACTATTATGTAACTTTATTCAATTGTAGGTACAATCAAAGGTGAACTTGAAGTATGACTCCTGGCACAAGGAAGTGCTCAGCAAATTTGGCCAAATGCTTGGTCAGAATATGACAGAGTTTCATTCACAAATTTCTAAGGTAAGACAAGTCCAAATTCCAGTTTTTCCACTTCCAGATCAACTGTTCTAGACTTCTAAAGCATTGATTTGTGCCCCAAACAGTCCCGTCAAGAACTGGAGCAGCATTCAGTGGACACTGCCAGCACATCAGATGCAGTGACGTTCATCACCTACGTGCAGTCCTTGAAACGTAAAATCAAGCAGTTTGAAAAGCAAGTTGAGGTATGTTGGCTTGGATTCTTTCTTCTGCAAATGTCAGTCTTAGCTCTTAAGTTGCAGCTTTATGATATTCAAGTTACTTGAGAACAGACTTGAACTTTATATCCTGAGGAATCCTGTGAACTCTATAGTGAGCGCTTGTTAAAGTATGTTGAATATTTAGCCTTGCGACTTAAGTTAGTTTTGTCTTTTTAACTTAACAACCACTGTCTCTTGTAGCTTTATCGCAATGGTCAGCGCTTGCTTGAGAAACAAAGGTTCCAGTTTCCATCCTCTTGGCTGTACATTGACAACATTGAAGGAGAATGGGGTGCCTTTAATGACATCATGCGTAGAAAGGATTCTGCCATTCAACAACAAGTAGCAAATTTGCAGATGAAGATAGTTCAAGAGGATCGTGCAGTGGAGAGCCGAACAACTGACTTGCTAACAGACTGGGAGAAAACAAAGCCTGTAACAGTAAGTAGTGATGATTAAGACTCATTCAGCAAATGAGGTAGATTCTCTGCGTTCAGTAAGAAATTTATTGTTATGCTTTTTTTGCAGTTTTTCATTTTTAGATGATGGTAAAATCTTTTTGAGGGTTCTATAATAACTTGCCAGTGTGTTGACTGGGGGGGCGGGCAGAGGGATATATACCCTTAAAACATAGGCCTCTGTTAGGTGCAAAAAGCAAGATGACTTCAGTTACTAACAGAGCTTTGGCTGAAACAAGGGATATGTCAGAGGCATGCATGTAGGAGGATTCAGAAGCAAGCTGGTTTTTTGGCCCTCGCCCCCCCGCCCCGTGATACTTAGTGAAGCCAAAAACTGTATGTAAAAGTGGGATGAGACTTACTCTGGGTTAGTACCTAGCCCTATTGTCAGATGACTGGAAATGGGAAAATAATGAGACAAAGCAACATTTAGTATTTAGTCCTTGCTTTTAACTTAGTTTCAACTTGATTGTAGCACTTCTGGATTAATGTATCCCATGCAAACTTTAGGGAAACCTGCGTCCAGAAGAGGCTCTTCAAGCTCTTACCATTTACGAAGGAAAATTCGGTAGGCTGAAGGATGATCGTGAGAAGTGTGCGAAGGCCAAGGAAGCTCTGGAACTAACAGATACAGGACTACTCAGTGGCAGTGAAGAGCGCGTCCAGGTACAACCTGCTCACACAACTTCCTGTCAGTTTTGGATAAAAATGTTTCGGTTCTATCTCTCTCCCTTAAGAGAGTGACTTGTAGCCTGCGATGTACTGGTGCCGAGACACAATCTCCACGCTCATTCAGTTCTAGCCTTAAGACATTGTGATCTCTTCCTTGACTGTCTTATCTTGTGAAGCTATTATGTGACCTGAGATACAAAAATCTCATCTGGGTCACTTGCTATTGCAGTTCTGTTGAATTGGCAAGCTAGCTGAAGGTTTTTGACATGTGAAAAGTATTCTGTTTAACTCCCCCATGCTAATGACTTTGAAGAAATTAGGAGTAACTGCTGATGTTTGATACTTTCTCTACTATAGGTAGCCCTTGAAGAGTTGCAGGATCTCAAAGGCGTCTGGTCTGAACTTTCTAAGGTCTGGGAACAGATTGATCAAATGAAAGAACAACCCTGGGTTTCAGTACAGCCTCGCAAGGTACTTCACTTCTGTATACATAAACAATGTAACTACTGGAAGTATATGCAGATTAGGAATTAGACCTCTTGAGATAGGCATGCTTAATTGTCACGTTCCAGATCATTTTCTGTGTTTAGGTACCTTTTTCAGTATCTTGTGAGCATTTTTCTTTTCATGCTAAGCTAAAAAAATTCACAGGGTTTGTCACCACTTAGGTAATTTTGCAGGGGATTTATGCAATTCCAGTAGTTTTGAAATTGAGGTTGGACTGCATCTACAGAGAAGAAACTGCTGTTTTTAAATAGGCTGTTGGACCTCATTAGGGAAACTTCATTATATGGTTGGATGAACAGCATCAGGTTTAGTTCAGTGCTCAGGAGGTAGAGGGCGGTAGGAACACTAAGCCATAAACAGCCTGTGACAATACTATGTCATAAGTCTTAATCAGACCAATAAAATTACATTCCTAGCTATAGAGTAACCACACGTTATGTAAATACATGTAACACCAGATGAGCTGTACTGTCGATAGTATCTCATTAGCAAGAGGTTTCTGTAAAAATATGTAGACAGTTTTAAACTTGTACAACTATGTGCACAGCACTTGCAGAGAAAGATTTCATTGCTTGTATGTTACTGACAGCTTCGACAGAACTTGGACGGTCTGCTGAACCAACTGAAAAACTTCCCTGCCCGCTTGCGACAGTATGCCTCTTATGAGTATGTTCAGAGACTTCTGAAGGGCTACATGAAGGTAAGTTGTACTCATTTCTAAAATGGCATGTATTTTATAGTTCAGGTTCAAGGATGTAACTTGCTTTCTTGTCTTCTGTAGATAAACATGTTAGTTATTGAGCTGAAATCCGAAGCCCTTAAAGATCGTCACTGGAAACAGCTGATGAAGAGGCTTCACGTTAACTGGGTTGTCTCAGAATTGACCCTGGGTCAGATCTGGGATGTCGATTTACAGAGAAATGAAGCAATCGTCAAAGATGTACTGCTCGTGGCTCAGGGAGAGATGGCTTTGGAAGAGTTCTTGAAACAGGCTAGTATCAGCTCTTGTATGTATGCATGTAATAGCAAATCAGAGGCTTGCTGTCGGGTGGCTGACACGTGTGTAATAAACTTGTGAATCTAAGCTGTTGATACAAGTGCTAAGACTCCATGGAACACTCTGTTTTGGGGAACAGCTTAAAGCTATGTAGGCTTCCTCTGATGAAATTTACATTATTTTGGAAAGGCAGTCCTTGATAATGACTGCAAAGACCCCACCTTGTTTAAGTTTTACCTAACTGCATTATGTTCTCAATATTTTTTTAACAAAAGCTTGAGCATAAACCCAGAATCCTTGGGTAAAAAAAGTGAAATCTGATTACTATAATACATTTCTACTTTGTAGCTATGTTGCAGCAGCAATGATTGATGTCATATCTTAAACATTTTTTTCTTCAGATAAGAGAAGTGTGGAACACTTATGAATTGGACTTGGTCAATTACCAGAACAAATGCCGTTTGATTCGTGGGTGGGATGACCTTTTCAACAAAGTAAAAGAGCATATTAACAGCGTGTCCGCTATGAAGCTATCACCATACTACAAGGTAAAATGGAGAACAAAGCCAAAGAATCTTCACTTAATTCTGCCTTCCCCTTTTGTTTAGTTTATATATTTGTCAGCAGGGACTATATTCACTATTTAAGTTGACAGGCAATTAATTGCATATGCATACATTGTAACTCTCAAACAACTGTTTCCACTAATAATTATTAGCAGTCAAACTCCTCATAGTATTAAAATGAATATTAATGCAGTGTTTAAACTTTAGGTGTTTGAGGAAGATGCCCTTAGCTGGGAAGATAAGCTGAACCGTATCATGGCACTCTTTGATGTCTGGATAGATGTCCAAAGGCGATGGGTCTACCTGGAGGGAATCTTTACTGGTAGTGCAGACATCAAGCACTTGCTGCCTGTGGAGACCCAGCGGTTCCAGAGGTAACTTTTTAATTGCTTTCTTCTTTTCTTGCCTCCCTTGGGGTACCATGTGGACAGGCCTGCAACTTCATGACTTCAGTGTAGCACTCTAAGTTGGAATACTAACTGTGTTCTTACCTGGTCCAGCTGGATTACAGCCCTGCTGTAGACTTAAGTTGATCGTGCAAACAAATATGGCGGAAGCTGCATGTAGACAGCTATGACAGAAACAGTTTTATAATAAACAGGCTGATGTACAGTTTTTAGAAGATGATTGGGATTCAGGTGGTTTTTCTTGCTAGTTCCAGTCAGCTACCTCAAGGATTTTTCTAGCATTGTGGCTGCAACAAGCAGGCTGATTTCTGTTGCTGCAGCCTTTAGTCACCCTTCAAACATCATTTTCTTCCTCTGCTTTAAGTTGCTCTGATCGTTCTTATTCATTCCACACACTTCCAGTCAGATCAAAGAATCAGATTTATGCATCTTTTCAGGAAATGAAGAAAGCAGACCTGCAGCAGTGGAATTGATAGACTGAACATTGCAAAGAAGTTAGATTTTGTTGTTGTGGACTTGAGGTAGATGAAGAGCTTTTTGAGGAATTTAGCTTTGCGTTCCATCAGGCAGCTGCAACAATTAGAGAGGTAGTGGGCATTTAGAGACAGATAACTTTGGTGTTATGCAGGCATGTGGTTACTGAGTTTGCACTAAGGTACTCTGTTATTTTACTTGCAGCATCAGCACTGAATTTTTGGCACTCATGAAAAAGGTGTCCAAATCTCCACTTGTGATGGATGTTCTTAACATTCAAGGTGTACAGAGGTCATTAGAGAGACTGGCAGACTTGCTTGGGAAGATACAGAAGGCACTGGGAGAATACTTGGAAAGGGAGAGGTCCTCACTTTAGTTGACTCTTGAAGTAAAGTCATTTGATGTTTCTGTGCAAGAATTGGTGTACTGTTCTGTAAAGCCTCTGCTGATTTTTATGTATTGCATATATATATAAGGTGTTATGACCATTTAAATTTGTGTTGTCTAAATACAGAATTCAGTTATAGGTACTTCTCAGGAAGTGGGACTAAAACGTCCCTTACTTACTCATCTGTGGCTAGTTGTAGGATTGAGATATTGCTTAAAGAACCATTGCAGCTGATTTCCGTAAACTTACAGGTTCTATTTTGAACTGTTTCATTCTGGCATTTGATTGAAGGACAATGTCTAAACTGTCACAATCCAGTATTTAACTCATTGGTTCTGACTTATGTGTAGTCCTCAACTAGTTTGTCACATAGCATGAGAGAGTAAGGGTGAGGGAGGGTACTGAGTGGGAGTTCTCCCTGCCTAATAGACTTAATTCAATCCCAAGCTGTCCTGTGGGTGTATTTCGGGGATGGATAGGCGAAGAAAATGACCCACAGTATGGAGCATGTGTACACTTTTGTATGGTGCAGACCACATGAACTGAGACTTAATCTTAGAACTGAAGGGTAACTTCTAGCAAATTTATGGTTCATGCACTCTTGCAGTGTTGGGAAAATGAGTGTCAATTACTCACATACAGTGGCCATCTATGAAGCATAAATAAATTTAAAGTGATAGTTGAAGTTCTGATATAGATCTAATTTTATGTAATTATTAGGTTTTATTTTGTTGGTGATGAAGACTTGCTTGAAATCATTGGAAACAGCAAAAATGTTGCTAAGCTGCAGAAACACTTCAAGAAGATGTTTGCTGGCGTTTCTAGCATTATTCTCAATGAAGATAATTCTGTGGTTCTTGGGATATCCTCACGCGAAGGAGAGGAGGTATAGCTGCAGTGTTTCTTTTTAAATAAAATTCTGAAAATAAGTGAATGTGGGCTGACTTAAACCTAATTCTTGCAGGTGCTGTTCAAAACACCTGTCTCCATCACAGAACATCCCAAGATCAATGAGTGGCTCACTCTTGTTGAAAAAGAAATGAGAGTGACCCTTGCTAAATTGCTTGCAGAATCTGTTACTGAAGTAGAAATCTTTGGAAAAGCAACTTCAATTGATCCAGCAGTCTACATCTCTTGGATTGACAAATACCAGGTATCAATATGGAACATTTAAGCATACTACAGCTTGGTTACCTCAGTGAGGAAAACTATCTGATGAGGATTTTTGTTACACAGGCTCAGCTTGTCGTCCTGTCAGCCCAGATTGCGTGGTCTGAGAATGTCGAGTCAGCCCTCAGTGGTATGGGTGGAGCTGGAGACAACAGTCCTCTCCACTCTGTGCTAGCTAATGTTGAGGTCACACTCAATGTCCTGGCAGACTCTGTGCTGATGGAGCAGCCGCCTCTTCGGAGAAGGAAACTGGAGCACTTGGTAAGTAAAAACCTCCTTCCCTCTTCTGGGTTTGCAGGTGAGGATTTTTTAAAAAGTTTAATGAAAAGATTGATTAGTCTAAGACTTATTTTTCCTCTAGGAGAAAGTTTCATGCAATTTAAGCAACTGCATCAAGCCCTGATCCTGTAGGCAGTGGTAGTTTTTCACTCTAGTCAGCTTAATGTATGATGGCATATTGCAGACTAGCTCACTGAACTGATCTTCAAGCTAGCTCTTCCAAATATGGAAGTTACCGATTTCTTCATTCAAAAGTGAAATATCTCATTAAGCTGCTTATTATTGTAATTATTACATGCTTTTGTTTGTAGATAAGGATTGGGGGGGAAGTTAAAATCATCCTGGGTTATTTCTGTAGATTTTGAGAGGGAAATACCTGGTCTGTTTTAGGAGTACTTGTCTTCATTGTTTCTGGCAAGTAGAATACCTAGTTCAGTAGTATAGTGGATTAACAGACTAACTGGACCAGAGTGCTTTTGCTGAAAGCTAGGGAAGTCCTTAACAAGAGCAGTCAGCATTGTTGGTTTTGTCTTCATAGCAACAGGTTTTAAGGCAGAGACTGTTGGTAGGTCGTGATTTCTAAGCGATGGCAATTTATTATGCGAATCTGAAAAGCTGTAGGATTCCTGGCTTCATTAGCAATGGCTTGTATTGCTGTGGTCTAAGAAGTTACTTCATTCTCCAGATCACCGAGTTGGTGCACCAGAGAGATGTTACAAGATCACTGATCAAAAGCAAGATCGACAACTCCAAATCCTTTGAGTGGCTCAGCCAAATGCGGTTCTACTTTGACCCAAAGCAGACGGATGTGTTGCAGCAGCTTTCCATTCAGATGGCAAATGCCAAATTCAACTATGGTTTTGAGTACCTTGGTGTTCAGGATAAGCTAGTACAGACTCCTCTTACTGACCGCTGTTACCTGACGATGACACAAGCCCTGGAGGCAAGACTTGGAGGATCACCATTTGGTAAGTTTGTACTGAAGTACAATAAAAACTTGAGAGAAGTATATAAACTCTTATCCTCTCTAATACATAGCTTTAATGTAAACATGCAGAACACTTAGAACTAAGATACCAAAGAACAAAATAGTCTTTTGGGGGAAGCTCTTAACAGTTTTAGGTTTCACTGGACCCTCTTGTCAGGGGCCATCAGAATCAGCATGCTGGCAGATTACATGCGTGCGCAGTGGTACCTCAGATGATAAACTTGAAAACATGTCTGTCCCACTTCAAAAATAGGTCCTGCTGGTACTGGTAAAACGGAATCTGTTAAGGCTCTTGGACATCAGCTTGGCCGCTTTGTGTTGGTTTTCAACTGTGATGAAACATTTGACTTCCAGGTAAGCTGTTTGACTAAGAAAAAAAATGTAGTCTTTGCTAACAAGCAATATGAATCTCTTCAGAACTCTGAAACAGCTAGCGGTGTTTATTTCCAAGATGATTTTCTGTAAGTCTTAACTGAGTCGATATCTGTGGATCATACAGATGCTCTGTAACATGAGATGCCTAAAGCAAAAGTGGGGCAGAACATCGCTGGAGGAGAAGTTCTGGTTTTTTAGAACAGGTGGTTCTATAGCAGCAAATGGAAGGAAAGGAAGAGGAAGCAGAGAGCGGGGGCTTAAGACTGGCTTTAGGAAAGAAACTGGTTAGTTTGCATTGGTAGTACTGGTTTAATGGAGAACAGATGAGAGTGTGAGTGCCAAAATAGCTGTACTATTACCAAATTATCCTTTGCGACATAACTGTGGAGTTTGCCTGAGCATGTGAAAGATTCCTCAAAACTAAGAAAATTTACCCAGATATTTCAAAATTAATGATATCTAACTGAGAACCAGATGAAATGCCTCTGTAAACTGTAACACAGCAAATGTCTCAAAAAAACCCCCAAAAAACCAAAAAAAAAAAACCAAAAAACCAAACCACCACCATCAGTCAGGTGTATATGTAAAAAACCCAAATAAAACATGGACAAGGAATCACAATACTTCATGGACTCTGCCAGGTTGCCCATCTGGGTTGGTTTGTTTTTTGTTGTTTTTTTTTTTTTTTATACAGCTGTATTTCAATCAGACCAGGGGTCCATTTAGTCAGCATTTGGCCTGCAGTGGTGACTGTAAGAAAATACCCAGGGAGTAGTAAGATCATAGGTAGTGCATGATACCCTTGCCTTGACCCCAGTCCCCTTCCTGCCTGTGACAGTTGTGAGGATCAGGATGTCCCAAGCTGAAATGGGTTATTCTCTATTCATGCTCTGGTGAACCTTTCTCCGGGTACTCATTTCTCCCCTTAAATCCACATGCACACTTGCTTCTATAGCATTCTGTACCAAAGAATTCCACTGCATGGCCATGCACTTTATGAAGGAGCACCTTCTTTTGTCTTTTTTCCTTAGTTCTTGTAGTGGAAAAGACAGTAAACAGTTGACTCCTATTCATCCTAAACCAGTGGCTTTTAGACCTCCATCATATTCCCTCATGTTGCCTTTGTGGAATCATACCTTAAAGCCTTATCATACTCTGGCCATCCAATTTGCTCTTCTGAAATGTTTTGTAATTCTAGTATCCTCCTTGTGATAAAGGACTAGAACTGTGCCTGGTACTAATAGTATTGGCAAACAAAACATGCAGTGGACTTACCTTGACTGTTTTATGAATACACTGCAGTACAGTATGTAGTAATAGGAAGATCATCATCTGTGATTCTATGAAGCAGTTAACATCTGAAAGTCAGTTGGAACCCTTTTGTAACTCTTACAGTACTACCAAGATGGTAACGTACATATAAACACAGCTCCTTCCTGCCTTGGATGCATTGTATAAAGTGCTCTCTGCTCCCTTTGCCTATGCATAGGCAAGAATGATCGTGAAACTTCAGTGAATTTTCCCCTCTATGTGCAGGCAATGGGACGCATCTTTGTGGGACTTTGCCAAGTGGGTGCATGGGGCTGCTTTGATGAGTTCAACAGACTGGAGGAGCGTATGCTCTCTGCTGTTTCACAGCAAGTTCAGTGCATCCAGGAAGCCTTGCGAGAGCATTCCAACCCCAACTATGACAAGAGTAAGTAATTGTTCATTTCTAATAGTGTTGTACAGCATCTCTAACGTCCTTCGTGCTATTTTGTTTATGAGTTACATTTCTGCCAAACAATCCAAGGATGAAGCCCCTTTCTATCAAAACTTAAAACTTGAAGTAACTTTCAGCTGGTAGAAATTTGTATTTGAGTATTTGAGTTGCAGTACTAGAGGACCTGCTGTCTATTACTGTACGAAACTAAAATAGAATAAAGTATGAATTCTGTTCTCAGGGTGATTGATCACTGACTCAGATGTAACTAAATGCACTCTCTTTTCAGCTGCAACACCTATTACATGTGAGCTGCTGAACAAACAAGTCAAAGTGAGCCCTGACATGGCCATCTTCATCACCATGAATCCTGGCTATGCAGGCAGATCAAATCTGCCTGACAATTTGAAGAAGTTGTTCCGTAGCTTGGCAATGACAAAACCAGACCGTCAGTTGATTGCCCAGGTCATGTTGTACTCCCAAGGTTTCCGTACAGCTGAAGTGCTTGCCAATAAGATAGTACCATTCTTCAAGTGAGTAACAAGTTTGGCTCCAGTCAGTAAAAACAGATGCTATTGTTCAAAGCTATAATGTTCTTTGCAACTCGCTAAGCACATTGTGCAGCAATCATTTCAAGTAAACAATGACATTTACTAAGTGTTGTGTTAGTCCCTATTGAGAATCAAATTTTATTTTGTCTCTTTTGCTTCTTAGGCTTTGTGATGAACAGCTGTCCTCCCAAAGTCACTATGATTTTGGCTTGAGAGCACTGAAGAGTGTGCTGGTTAGTGCAGGTAATGTGAAGAGGGAGAGGATTCAGAAGATAAAGCGGGAAAAAGAAGAGCGTGGTGAAGTTGTTGATGAGGGAGAAATCGCTGAGAACTTGCCAGAACAAGAGGTAATGTGTGAACTCTTTGCTTCTGTGATAAAGTACAGGATGCACGCTAAACAAAGCAAATAGCCCTGCAGCATTTACCATTTAGTGTTAAGCCATGCAACCAAAGATATGAATCACGAAACGTGGTAATTTGATAGCTTAGAAGCACCAGGTTAAACATGTCTTCGGAGTCCCTGAATCATAGTAAAAGACTTGGTCTTATGAGGTGGTGCATTCATAATGCTTACTGCTGCTCAGTTCCTCAGCAGTTAACACCAAAAGTGTAGTGAAGAGGCAAAAGAAACTACAGTTGTATAAACTGAAAATCCAGAGGAATTCATTGTGTAGTTTCAAAGTTGAAACCCTATCAGTGGTTGTTTTTACCAAGACCACCCTGGTCTGGTGCTTTATCAGTATTTAGTGAAGTATTCCTTGTCAAACACATTTGGTAAAGCAAACTTAAAAAATCTTAACCAAAACATGATTCTCTCTGCAGATCCTGATCCAAAGCGTATGTGAAACTATGGTACCAAAACTGGTTGCAGAAGACATTCCATTGCTGTTCAGTCTCCTTTCTGATGTATTCCCTGGAGTACAGTATCATCGTGGGGAGATGACAGCCTTGCGAGAGGAGCTTAAGAAAGTGTGTCAGGAAATGTACCTTACCTATGGTGATGGAGAAGAAGTTGGTGGCATGTGGGTTGAAAAGGTAAAATACAAAACTGAAACTGTGGAATTGAAGTTTATGTATAAGACTAAACTTCCTTTTTTTTATTATGAAAAGTGGAAAACTTTTTCCTTTTTCTTGTTTTAAGCAAGCAATACATGGAAGCTTATATTGACTACTGAAGTTAAGACTTAATTGGTACATCATTTCTTCTGTCACAGGTTCTTCAGCTGTATCAGATTACACAGATAAATCATGGATTGATGATGGTTGGTCCCTCCGGAAGTGGAAAGAGCATGGCTTGGAGAGTCCTTCTGAAAGCCCTCGAACGGCTGGAGGGTGTGGAAGGTGTTGCTCATATTATAGATCCTAAAGCAATCAGCAAAGATCACCTCTATGGTACTTTGGATCCAAACACCAGAGAATGGACAGATGGCTTGTTTACACATGTCCTGAGAAAGTGAGTCTTTAATAGCACAAATGAAAAATGGCCAGTACCTTTGTGCCATGGATAATCTGGCCTTACTGAGTCTTTGTTCTCTACTGTAATAAATATTTCGTTTAATGTAGAATCATAGACAATGTGAGAGGTGAACTACAAAAACGTCAGTGGATTATCTTTGATGGTGATGTAGACCCTGAATGGGTTGAGAACTTGAACTCTGTTTTGGATGACAACAAACTACTGACTCTGCCAAATGGAGAACGTCTCAGCCTTCCACCAAATGTAATGTTACTTTTTTTACATTATGTTTATGTGCTGTCCTATAAACCTTGTTGCTTTTGCTTTAATCCATACTAGTGTTGTCCCTCTTTCTCATCACAAGCAGAGTAATACTGATGTCGGGTAGTGGTTTGCTGGAGTTAGGAGCTTCTGTGGAAACAAACGTTTCACATTATACTTACTCTGACCCTGTAAGACAAACTTTGTGGATTATATAAAAGTCTAGGGTAACAGTCAATAATGATGAACTTAACCTTAGGATAGTTTAATACTGCTGTTGATTATTCAGAGGCTAAATACAAATTAACTTATTTTAAAAGGTCTGCTGGTTTTTGGGAGGGAGTTTCTTGTTTTGTTTTACTTTTGGTTGGTTGGTTGTTTTTTACTTCAAACTCTTGTTTTAAATTACTCTTCAGGTACGTATCATGTTTGAGGTACAGGATCTGAAATACGCCACTTTGGCTACTGTGTCAAGGTGTGGTATGGTCTGGTTCAGTGAGGATGTTCTCAGTACAGACATGATATTCAACAACTTCCTGGCCAGACTAAGAAACATTCCTCTGGATGAAGGTGAGGAGGAAGCTCAGCGAAGGCGAAAGGGCAAAGAAGACGAGGGAGAAGAAGCAGCATCCCCAATGTTACAGGTATAACTTAGATTCCATTATGGGGTAACATAGTAAGAATGCTTGTATTACAAGTAGTACGGTATACTTAAAATTTATGACAGCCTATCATAGAAAAGCTGACTTCCTCTTTATATTTTTTCTTTTCTTTTTTAAGAATATTAAAATATGAAGCATTTCAAACCTTAAGCAAAATTACTTCCTGCTGCCTGGTAATCAAATGTGCTCTGAGCAGTCTTTGTCTCCCCCAACAGATTCAGAGAGATGCTGCAACAATAATGCAGCCATATTTCACGTCTAATGGCCTGGTAACTAAAGCACTTGAACATGCTTTCAAGTTGGAGCATATTATGGATCTCACCCGCTTGCGCTGTCTTGGTTCTCTGTTCTCCATGTTGCATCAAGCTTGCCGCAATGTAGCCCAGTACAATGCCAATCATCCAGACTTTCCAATGCAGATAGATCAATTAGAGCGTTACATCCAGGTAAATACAACATGCTGCTAAGTGACTGCTGTGTTTGACTTGTCAGTATAGCAGCTAGATTTGATTTATTTTTCATTAAGTTTTGTTCCATTACTCTAAAACCAATGGGTGCTTTTGCTGCTTCTTACAGAGGTACCTGGTCTATGCAATACTCTGGTCCCTTTCTGGAGACAGTCGTTTGAAAATGAGAGCAGAGCTGGGAGAATACATTAGGAGAATCACCACTGTGCCACTGCCGACTGCACCCAACATACCTATAATTGACTATGAGGTAAACCTTACTTACGCTAGAAGTGTTGCTCTTTTGCGTTCCTAAAAGCTTGCTTTAGACTTTGGAGATGAAACTGGAAAATAAAATGCTAGACTATCTTAAATTTTACAGTTTCACAGTTCAGTGAACACGCTGCCTGTTGAAACACATCAAATTTGATGCTACAAACTATTCTGTCGTTTAAAAAAATATATATTCTCTTAACTAAGGTTGAGCTATATTCCTGTTCTAAATTGTTTGATCATGGTTTTGTGCACCTAGGTGTCCATTACAGGTGAATGGGTGCCGTGGCAATCCAAGGTTCCTCAAATTGAAGTTGAGACTCACAAAGTTGCAGCTCCTGATGTGGTTGTACCAACTCTAGATACCGTTCGCCATGAAGCATTGCTGTATACTTGGCTGGCAGAACACAAACCTCTTGTACTGTGTGGCCCACCAGGTTCTGGGAAGACCATGACCCTCTTCAGTGCTCTCAGAGCTCTGCCTGACATGGAGGTACACGAGTGTGTCTCTGTGTGTGTGCATATGCATGCGTGATTGACAGAGTAGTACCGAGTCTCTTATCTCCTTAAAGATCAAAGCAGTCTTGATTTAGCATGGAAGTTATTTGCTAGCCAGAATTCAGTGATACCTCCACCTCAGTCAGTCATGCTATACACAGCAAAAAATTACATTGAGCAGAATCTAAATTTATGTCTCAAGATCCTTAACCTAAAAGCTACTTCCTTCCTGTGCCGCTTCAATACTGCAGGAGCATTCCACTATTTAGTATTTAAAACCTGTGGTAATGTTTAAGAATAGTTCTCATTCTTCAGTGTATTTAGGTGGAGTAACGGTTATATGAAGCTGTGATGTTCTAAGTACAAGGCTCGGCAGGAGGTGTTGCTGCATGATAAATGGAGAACCTGCAAGTGGGAAGCAAACAGTATACAGTCAGAATACAGGCAGTAACCTGAAATACAGATTGTATATGTACTTCCACAGTGGAAAGCCAACCATACCTGTTTTCAGGACTCTTGATATGCTCTCTTTCAAGCCTTAGTGTATTTTAACTATTTCTTTTCACTGTTCTCTTTTTAAGGTGGTTGGACTCAACTTTTCTAGTGCTACCACTCCAGAACTGCTCTTGAAAACTTTTGATCACTACTGTGAGTACAGGCGTACACCTAATGGAGTGGTGCTGGCTCCTGTGCAGTTAGGAAAGTGGCTGGTGCTGTTCTGTGATGAAATCAACTTGCCAGACATGGATAAGTATGGCACACAGAGAGTCATATCCTTCATTAGACAGGTTTGTTTTTCTTTGTTAATCAACTATATCATAACAGTTATTTTTCAGGGAAATACAATGATCCACTGATTTTATTTTACTCCCCGCCTCCCCCCAGATGGTGGAACATGGAGGGTTCTATCGTACATCAGACCAGACATGGGTGAAACTGGAAAGAATTCAGTTTGTTGGTGCATGTAATCCACCTACTGATCCTGGAAGAAAACCTCTCTCACATAGGTAATGTATCTAGTAAACTATATAGCAACAGATTAGGGGTTAAAATTGAAGCATTGACTATGTAATCTGTTCTTAATACACTCATTTAACACAAGCTGTGCTGAAGTTATGTTCCTTCCTTTTGAACTAACTGCTGGTTGGTTCTTATCCTGCCAGACAGCCAGTGGACTCATTGTTACGCTTCTTGAATAACCTGTCTAAAATGCTGTGGATACTTCGGAATGCTTTTTGGTCCGAGTCACTAAGGAGCAATCAAACCAACTGCAGTTACTGCTGATAATTTTGAATCAAGCAGTTATTTAATTTTGGAAAAAGATAATGAAAATAGTACAGACTGTAATTTGACCTTCTGCGCTATGTGATATGCTAATCTTTCAGATTTTTACGACATGTTCCTGTGGTTTATGTGGACTATCCTGGACCAGCTTCGCTTACTCAGATATATGGAACATTCAATCGTGCAATGCTAAGGCTGATCCCATCACTTCGCACATATGCAGAACCTCTCACTGCTGCTATGGTAGAATTCTACACGATGTCTCAGGTAATTCGTTGAATACAACCCCAAATTCTAATTAGAAGTCTTCCTTTTATGCTGAATCACTTAACATGCATGGTTTGTCTTTCATATGGTTAATATGTGTGCGAGAACTCAACTAGTTACTTGAGTTCTGGTCAAAGCCACTGAATGACACCAGCAAAGTAATATCATGCAACACAAGAGCTGTACAAATATAGTGCAACTTTGGGATGAAGTAACTAATTATATTTGAATTTTTAGGAGAGGTTTACTCAAGACACACAGCCACACTACATCTATTCGCCTCGTGAAATGACTCGATGGGTGAGAGGTATATTCGAAGCATTAAGACCACTAGAAACCTTACCAGTTGAAGGCCTTATCAGGATTTGGGCCCATGAAGCCTTACGTCTTTTCCAAGACAGGTAAATTAAACATGAGATGGGGGGCAAAAAAAAAAAAAAAAAAGTGCAAAATTAATTTTCCCCACTCCTTGTCAGTCTTTATTAGAAGACCAAACTGAAGTGTGTTGCATGTTAAATAGCTGGAATACAAATGAGAATATTTCCCTTCGCTTTAACGTAACACTACTGGGAGTCGTATCTGTGCAAAGCACAATTTAGTGGTGGCACCACCATGTGATGTGACTACATCCTCCCGTTACAGAGGATTTGTAGTTACTGACTTTTCTCTTTTTCCAGACTTGTAGAAGACGAGGAGAGACGCTGGACTGATGAGAACATTGATATGGTTGCTCTGAAGCACTTCCCCAATATTGACAAAGAAAAAGCTATGAGCAGACCTATCTTATACAGCAACTGGCTGTCAAAGGTAAAAATAACTAACTAAATAAAAGTAAATAGTTTGGGAGCAACTGAGTGATGCAGCCCATAGGATTATATTAACATGATAATTGGTGCCCATCATTTTGTTAAACTGATCTCTAAGAAGTTCTCATTATGATTATCTGAAGCGAACTCAACCACAAAGTTAATAGCTGTTATGCCAGGGATACAATTGTAAGATCTACCATAGTAGATAAAGGGAGTATTAAATAATATTTCTTGAGAACAGATAACACTCCCAGAAAGTTGCTGTGAGTTAGTGCTTATGGAATCTCTTGGATAAGGCAGTGACCCTTGAACAACGTTGATATTGTAAATTTTATGGTGGACTGTTTCTTGCAACCTGAAGTGATCCAGCTGGGCAATCTGTAGAAATCCCACTGGGTCAAGGTGAAAGTCCATCTTACCTGCTACCTATCTCTGTGACCAATAGCAAATGCCTAGGAAAGGCTCTTTAAAATAAATTGGGGTAGTGAGGAGGGAGTAAGTCTGTCGCACTACTTCCAAGTCTATTCAGTGACTGGCAGGACAGGCTTAACCTATGATAGGTTCAGTAGGTAACAGTGTTTAAACCCCATGCCACTATCTGTGGCACTCTAAGCTGTGGACATGTTCCTGTGCAAGTTAAATGAGTACATCGTTCTTAAGCTTTTGTAGGGGGTTGCTACTTTAAGTATTCTAATAGTTCTGTTTTCATCTACTCATAAATTGATCCCTAACCAAAATTACCTTAATTTTAAATTCCATACTGTATTTACTGATTCTTCTAGGATTATATTCCAGTGGATCAAGAAGAATTAAGAGACTATGTGAAAGCTAGGCTTAAAGTCTTTTATGAAGAAGAACTTGATGTACCACTTGTTCTGTTCAATGAAGTCTTGGATCATGTGTTAAGAATTGACCGGTAAGTGAAGACTTCAGTTGCTGCTCATACAAATAGTATTTAGAGAGTATTTATTCTAAAATAGAGTAGCCTGAGTACAAACTAAGTAAGAATGGAGCATGATCCCATTGTTGTCCATAGATTATCTACTTCTGGCCTCCAGATAGCAGGATCCTAGCTGGAAAGATGTGTCAGTTTTGGTACTAACTTGAAGTTTAGATGAGAAAGGAAAAGCTTCAGTAAGTTGATAGTACTTGATCAAAACATACTTGCTTATGTGCTTTTTTCCAGAATCTTCCGTCAGCCACAAGGTCATTTGCTGCTTATTGGAGTCAGTGGAGCAGGGAAAACAACTCTCTCGCGATTTGTTGCCTGGATGAACGGTTTGAGCGTCTACCAAATTAAGGTTGGCGTACTAGTTTCACTTAAAGCCTGTTAGTCAAAGCTCACGCTTTTTGAATATTGACCCCTAAAAATCCCCTTAAAAGCTAAACCAAAATGTTAATAGCCAATGTTAAATCTTACTAGGTTCACAGAAAATACACAGGTGAAGATTTTGATGAAGATCTTAGGACAGTATTGAGACGTTCTGGCTGTAAAAATGAAAAAATAGCTTTTATAATGGATGAGTCGAATGTGTTGGATTCTGGATTCCTGGAGAGAATGAACACTCTCCTAGCCAATGGAGAGGTAAGAAGATTTTAAGTAAATACTTTAAGCACCTTTTTACAACTATAAACTACAACAAAACTATCTTTTGAATTAGGTTCCTGGTCTCTTTGAAGGAGATGAATATGCCACCCTCATGACTCAGTGTAAAGAAGGAGCACAGAAAGAAGGTTTAATGTTAGATTCACATGAAGAACTGTACAAATGGTTCACCAGCCAAGTTATTCGCAATCTCCATGTTGTGTTCACTATGAATCCATCTTCTGAGGGCCTGAAGGACAGGGCAGCTACCTCTCCTGCGCTCTTCAACAGGTAATTGCTGTATATTCCAACATGCATTACAAATACTGTTAAAACAGTACTTTTTGGGAAGGCTTCACAACTGCTTTGTATTTCAGGTGTGTCTTGAACTGGTTTGGAGACTGGTCAACTGAGGCACTGTACCAAGTTGGCAAAGAGTTCACAAGCAAAATGGATCTTGAGAAACCAAATTATATTGTGCCCGATTATATGCCAGTTGTGTATGATAAGCTACCACAACCACCATCACACAGGGAAGCTATTGTTAATAGTTGTGTGTTTGTTCATCAGACTCTCCATCAGGTATGTTTTTATTACATTGCTTAACTTGTGTTGATCTCCAGGCCCCAGCATCATGCACCAGTTTCCTAAAAAGTATGGTCTTTGCATTTGAATAGGTTTAAAACCAATGCGTAATCTACAATTCCTTCTTCCCTAAAGGCTAATGCTCGTCTGGCAAAACGAGGAGGCAGAACCATGGCAATCACACCACGCCACTATTTAGACTTCATCAACCATTATGCCAACTTGTTCAATGAGAAACGAAGTGAATTGGAGGAACAGCAAATGCATTTGAACGTTGGCCTTAGAAAAATCAAGGAAACAGTTGATCAGGTACATATCTTTAAAACTTTGCCCTTTATAAGGCTGGAGTGATTAAATAGATCCCCATGCTTAATCTGAATTCTCCCATGTTACAATCTATCTCAGGTGGAAGAATTGCGGCGTGACCTAAGAATAAAGAGTCAGGAACTGGAAGTGAAGAATGCAGCAGCCAATGACAAGTTAAAAAAGATGGTGAAAGCAGGAAGCTGAGAAGAAAAAGGTAAGAATCTTTGTTAAATCTTTGTGTGTAGTGAGTATTTTTATTTACAAAACAGAGCCTGCAGAACATGTGCTGGAAGAAGTGCAACTTCTAAAAAGCACTATTTTGTCTGTGAAACTTCCTCCTAGGTCATGAGCCAGGAGATTCAGGAACAGCTGCACAAGCAGCAGGAGGTCATTGCAGACAAGCAGATGAGTGTGAAAGAAGATCTTGACAAGGTGGAGCCTGCTGTCATTGAAGCTCAGAATGGTATGTTAGCACCTGAAGAGATCACACTGTGGGATTTGATCCAAAACTGCACTATTTTGTCTGTGAAACTTCCTCCTAGGTCATGAGCCAGGAGATTCAGGAACAGCTGCACAAGCAGCAGGAGGTCATTGCAGACAAGCAGATGAGTGTGAAAGAAGATCTTGACAAGGTGGAGCCTGCTGTCATTGAAGCTCAGAATGGTATGTTAGCACCTGAAGAGATCACACTGTGGGATTTGATCCAAAACTGAAGTCTATGGGAATGCTTTTTGGTGCGGTCTGAGTTGGTCCTGCCTAACAGAACTGTAGGCTCTTAGCATGGAGCTGAACAGTGTTGAAGAAATTCCTAATCTTTGAGCTCTGATTTTGTGCTGTTTATAGTACTGAGCTGATACTTGATACTCCTTTTATGGCTTGTGGCTTCATTTTTGGCAGACCAGTTCTAGTTATTTATTCAGTCTATGTATTCATAAAGAAACCTCATGATCAGAAAGACCACTGATGCCTTATTACTGCACAGACAGCATACAATCAAGCTGTCCATTTATTAAACTGGACAGAGGAGTCATTGCTTATAATAAAGCTTGAAGTGAATGGTTTTTAGGCAGCAGAGTAAGTTGCCTGTAGCCAGTTGGCAAGTTGTCATTCACAAAAGTTTATCTAGTGATACAGTAGTTTGAATGTTTTCTACTACTATCTGCTTCTCTGATAATCTCAAATTCCTTTTGAGACTCTTGAAGCATTTTTACTAATCCACGGTACTTTAACAGACTTTG